GCTGTACTGGGTGGGTGATAATGCCAAATGGGATGTGGGGGACGCATGTGGGACGCATGCGGGCGGTCCCATTGGGGGCTTCGGTGGAGTTCCCTATGGAGCCACGAAACACTGTTCTGGGTGAGTGAAAGTGCCAAATTGGGTGTGGGGGGCGCATGCGGGCGGTCCCACTGGGGGCTTCGGTGGAGCTCCCTATGTGGCCACAAAACGCTGTGCTGGGTGGGTGACAGTGCCAGATGGGTGTGGGGGACGCATACGGGCGGTCCCACTGGGGGCTTCGGTGGAGCTCCCTACTGGGCCACGGAACACTGTTCTGGGTGAGTGAAAGTGCCAAATTGGGTGTGGGGGGGCGCATGCGGGCGGTCCCACTGGGGGCTTCGGTGGAGCTCCCTATGTGGCCACAAAACGCTGTGCTGGGTGGGTGACAGTACCAGATGGGTGTGGGGGACGCATACGGGCGGTCCCACTGGGGGCTTCGGTGGAGCTCCCTATTGGGCCACGAAGAGCTGTGCTGGGTGGGTGAAAATGCCCAATTGGGTGTGGGGAACGCATGCGGGCGGTCCCACTGGTGGCTTCGGTGGAGCTCCCTATGGGGCCGCGAAGCGCTGTGCTGGGTGGGTGAAACGCATGGAAGGAGGAGGGAGGGGAGGAGGAGGAGAGGAGGAGAGGAACGCGAAGCGACGTCTCTTCAAAACGAGGACCTAACACCACAGGATGGTTCGGAAATGCCAAAGCTTGGTCGCTGACGACCTGCAGCCATGCGACCTGCAGCCAGGAGAAGGCGAGGAAGGTCAGAACACGCCCCGCATTCGCACCAGCATCCACCAACCTTCTGACAAGATTATGCCCGCCACGGGCACCACGGGCAGTCCACGACAAACGGTCCAGCGGGCGTCTCTAGACAGCGGGCAGTGCGGGTTTCCCGCGGCATGGCTCCAGACTCCCAAGCAGTGGTCGCACATGTGCACGAGATCTCCTCCTCCTCTTCGGGCCAGCTTCTGCAAGGCACTTCGGCCTGCGGGCCAAAACAAATACTACATACATGTTTAGGTGTGTACATGTATATGTATTACATGAATTCACGATTGATGATAGATAGTCGAGCCCCGGTGCCCCAGTCCCTGCAAGAAGATAGCAACGTCGTGAGCACAACCCGCATAAGTTGTACAAAACTAAGACTATCACAGCAGAGACATTCAACTATAAGAGAGTTTACAGGTATACACTAATCCAAGAAGTTGTTTTACCACTGGGACCCCCCTGAAAGGCTAACGCCACACCGCTCGAAAACCATGTCGAATCATTCGGAAAGGCGTTATGAAATCTGGATCAAGACGACGATGAAGTTCTACAATTCCAGATCTGCAAGAAATCACACCCGTAACCAGAAAACCATCGAGAACAAAATAACGAAATTCGCGTGAGCGACGCCTGACCCATGGAACCGAAGTTGGTGTTCCGAAGCTTAGCAAGCAATTTAGCGTAGGAAGTGAAACCGAAACGTGTCCCATGTGACGGTCGTCCTCGTCCGCCGTCTCCTCATGCCACCTGTCTTCCTCCTCCGTTACCTCCTCCCTTTTCTCCACCGCCTCCTCCTCCTCATCATCATCATCATCATCCCAAATCCCCATCCTCACCCGCAAGAGCACCATCCACACCATCCTCCTCCTCCTCCTCATCATCACTATCATCATGACCACCACCACCATCATCGCCACTACCACCATGACCATACTTATCTCTCCTCCCCTTCCTCCGCCTCGTCACCGTCGTCATCATCATCAGCATCGTCAGCCTCATCATCATCATCATCATCAGCATCAGCAGCATTATCATTACCATCAAAACCACCATCATCCTCGTCATCACCATCAGTATACTCCTCAGCATCGTTATCATCATCACCACCATCGCCACCACCACCATCAGCATCATCACCATCACCGCCACCACAATCACCATCGCCATCACCATCACCATCACCATCGCCATCGCCATAACCATCATCCACATCATCACTAGCATCAGCACCATCATCAACATTTACATCATCATGACCATTATCATCATGACCATCACCACCACCATCAGCATCATCATCATCGTCGCCATCAGAATCATCAGCATCGTCATCACGGGTCTCCCAAGCCTGCAGATGCGAATTGTCACGAGAGACGGCCTCCCATACCTCCCAGAACAGAGGCCACCCACAATGCTGCGCTGGCACGGTGGCATGTCTTACCGCAGGCAGCTGGATGACCCTGTAACCCCCCTATCCCCTTAGCAACCCCAGGGGCGGAACTTTAGGGGAACCCCTATCTAAAAAAAACTAAGACATCGCATGTCGGGGTTGGTGGGGGTTCGGAGGCAACTTCCGGGAGGTCTCCGCCCGAACGATGAAGTAAAGAGCCTTGAAGCCATACAAACCCAGATTTAGGCCCCAAGGTTTCGCAAGATTCAGCCGGACTGGGCCAGGCTCACGCGGCTGAGGCAGGACTTTTTGGGGGCCACGGGCGTGCCAGCGCCAGTGCTGAGTTCAGCCTCCCTTGCCGTCGCTCGGACGTCCATTTCCTGCGAATTGCTCGGTTTCGTGCGTGTGTTGTTCCCTCGATATATTCGTGCGTGAGCAAAAGTGCACACGCCCGAGCGATGCCAAGCTCCCTGAAGTTGCAGCCTGAGGTACGCCGCGGTTCCTCGCCGTCTGGGTACGCTGCGGCTCCTCGCAGTCTGGGTTTCGCGGTGCCTCGGCGCGCTACGGCTCCTCGCAGTCTGGGTACGCTCCGCGCGGGGCGTCCCCGAGAAAACGCCCTGTGTCCGCGGGGTCGCTGGGGGACTGGCCCGCGAGGCCACGGATACAGGTGTCCCTTCCGCCCACGAGACCATCCATCACCAGCAAGACCCGGAGGCGGGAGAGACGTCCACGTCAGTGCCGCGCGACGGGGGGCCTCAAAGACCAGGGCACTGGCGCACCCGAAAGAACTGCTGAAGCGGGTCGAAACGTCCACGCGTTCTCCACTGGCCGTGCTCTCCCGCAGGACCCGGCAGGATCTTGGCTTGCAGAGTGGTGGCTTCCAGCCACCTGGCCACGTCCGCAGCCTCGCCGCCGGGACTCCTCGGCCGCGTGCCCCACGGAGCTTGCTCGCCACCGATCGACAGCGGAGACTGCGGATGGACCAGAGTTCCCCGTGTTTTTGTAGGTTTCGTGCGTGGCTGTTTCGCCAAATGATCAAGGATGCTCCTCGATGGTCCTCGCCGAAGAAAAAATGCACACATCCGAGCGATGCCAAGTTTAGGAGGTCGGCGGCGAGCGACGGGGGGGAACCGAGAGGGAGAAGGCCTGCTCAGAAAGTTCGGAAGTCCCCCGGCCCGCTGAGAAGCTTTCTGAGCCTTCCCCGAAGACGGACAAGAACGTATCAGAAGGCGCGAGGGCTTCTGAGAGGCCCCGCCGCCTTCCGAGAAGGCCCTCTCCTTCTCATTTCCCCCCCTCGCTCGCCGCCGGATCCTGGGGGCGTGCCTCCACCAGGGGAAAACGGTCATCGATTGAGGCCATGTCCCGGGGACCACCTCTACCATGGGAGGAGTATCCACGATGCTGGTGGAAGTCTTGACCTTGCGGCCACCCACGTTCGGCGGCAAGCGAGAGGGGGAAATGAGAAGGAACAGGCCACCTCAGAAGGTTCGGAAGTCCCCCGGTCTTATGAGAAGTGTTCTAAGCCTTCCCCGAAGGCAGGACAAACTTCTCAGAAGGCGCGAGGGCTTCTGAGAAATCCAGCCGCCTTCTGAGAAGGCCTTCTCCTTCTCATTTCCCTCCCTCGCTCGCCGCCGACACGTGGCCTGAAGACCACCACCACCATCACCGAGATCTGAGGTCACTTTCCCGAGGTAGAGGCGACCACCGATATTGGTACCAGTGCCAACCTATGAGCATCTAAAGAGGAGGCAGAACATTCACCACCACCAAGGACTCTCCTGATACGATGTGATACAACCATCTTGCTGGGCGCCAACCTAACGACATCTTCCATACCACTGACCACTCCCGCGGTGCGGGCTCCCATGGCAACCAGGTTGTGAAGATCTCCACGCAGCCAAACTTCAGAACGAACTAAGACTGTTCAACGAACTTGCTGAAAATGACCCCTCTCCCATCCAATCAGCTCACACCCCTTGCCGAAGACAGGAGCGAAGGCTATTGCGCGTGTGCGTGATTGATTCTGGGAGAAAGAAGGAGAGGGACAGAACGAGAGAGAGAGAGAGTCCGTGAGAGAGAGAGCGCGAGAGATGTAGAGTGCGATGGAGAGAGAGAGAGAGAGAGAGCGAGGGAACTAGAAAGAGAGAGAGAGAGAAGGACACAGACAGATGACGACAACTATACAAGGGAAGAGAGAGAAAGAGAGAGAAAGGAGGGGAGAGAGACAAGAAAGACCCACCAAACAAGAATACAAATGAACGAGGGAAAGGTAGAAAAGAGAGAGATAGAGAGAGGGAACGCACTGCGGGTGTAGACAGAACTGCGCATGTGTGCCAATGCGGTCAACCGCCTGCGGCTGCCTATGGGTGACATGGATGTACGCACCACTGCCTCTGCGCACATCTGCACACGCGTGATTAACAAGCGCTCCTGCGCGATACGCTCAACACGACAACGCAGGCCCACACATCGCGCGCATCGCTGGGCCCGGACCTCTTGGTCGACGGAGATGGTGGGTCTCTGCCCTTTTTCGAGAAACAGTCTCAAACAGAATCACCGGACGTCGCACCTGCACCCTGCGGAGAAGCCAAACGCTACGAAAGAAGCATAAGAATGTGAGGCAACATAACAGATGCATGGACGGCACGAGACCTCGAGGCTGGGTTGGGAAAGGCGGTCACAGAACTTAAAGGAGTCGGAGCGTCATGGAAGAACTATCGTGGAGGAAGGGCAGTCACATAGCACGGACAATGATGGCATGTGTGTGGCCCTGACTGGTCCCAGAAGTCATAAGAGAAGTGGATGAAGCCTGACAACACGCGAGGCCGGCATGGGGAGCAGCATGCCCTCGCGCAGAAACCGCGCATGCGCACGCGTGCGCCCGCCTCGCGGGGAAACCCTGCGGTCGGCGCGAGTGAGGCCCGCAATGCATGGTTGCATCGGGAAAGTGAGCTACAGTCAAAACTGACAGCAATAATGCACGATATGGGTGCAAGGGCCTTGGACACCCATGCCGAAGCTCTTCAAGCGGGGCTGGCCATCGAAAGTGGTGGGGAATGGAGCGAAGATGACCGAAGAGGCAAGGATGCCACGGTACCCTCAGGAAGTCGATCATCCTTCCTACCGGTTTCGACTGTACCCTGCGGAGTCCGCCAAGCAAGTGTTCAAACTGCATACATTCAGTCATTGAGGTCGTGTGGACTCGCCTGCACATGCCCCCAAACACTTACAGCCGCGGAGTAGCTTCGGTGGCAAGGAAAGGGGCGCACCTGGTTAGGGCAAGATTGCGGACACTATGCCCGCAGTACTTGGCAGCAGCGGCCCCCCAGCCACCCAGGAGGCTGTGACAGAGGGACGCAATGTCTCGAGAAGCTGTATTCTGGAAGGTGGGTCATGGACCCTGGACTCTCCCTTCGCCCACGGCACTCACTCAGGATGCTGCCCGAGAGAAGGCTCCGATGGCGGACACTGAGCCCATCCTTGGACGACAGCGTGGTGTGAAGTGGCCCAGTGGAGTGCCGAACTGACCTGCCACGATCTCCGTAACGTCCTCCTCCGTTCTCTACCTCTGGCCCGTTCCTCCTCCACCTGTTTCCCTGCCCCTCCACCCCATCAACACTTACTCAATATGAATCTACTACTACCCCGCCCTCTCGGCGCCGTGCTCTTACACTGGATTTCGTTGCTTCGTCGTTCCTATCTGGGTTCCCATCGAAGCGGTCTCGGTATTTCAGCTCACGCCGAAGTGTGGGCCACATTGCTGGATCCGATGCCTTCCTCATCGGTGTCGCCCCCCCTCATTTCACCCCTCCTGGACCTTCCGCTCCTCCCGCTCCTTCAACTCCAACTCCTGCTGCTGTTGTTCGTCCTTGCCTTCCCCGTTCAACACCATGTTCCTCGTTTCCCCTCCTGACCATCCTCCTACTCATCCGCCACATCCTTCTCTTCCTCCTCCTCCTCCTCCTCCTCCACCTATGTAAGCAGCAACCCCTTCCCGATTGTTCAGCACACATCTATACACGATGGGGTATCGTTTGGAGCTCTAGGGTCCGCCATGACACGCGCGGGCGGAAACATATAGAGAGAGGGAGAGAGAGAGAGAGAGGGAGAGAGATAGAGAGAGAGGGAGAGAGCGAGCGCAGTGGGAGGGGATGGGTGGGAGGGGTAGGATGTCAGATATGGCGCGAGGCCGCCTAGCGTGGCTGTGTATCCCTTCCCCATCTGTAGAGAGAGAAGCAAGGGACAAGCTCGGCTCCAGAGGCGGCCGAGGCAGGCAGCCAACGCCGCTAGGAAGGCCGCAGCTGCACATCCAGGTCGGGCCAACATGGTCCCAAGGCGGCCTGAGATGGCCGCACGACGGCCCCAGATGGCTGCAAGAGCGCCCAAGCGGGCCACGCGAGGTCCCCCCACAGGGGTCCGAGAACGCCAGGATGATAGATGCCCCGCGGGCTGCTGGAACAGGCTTCGCAAACTCGCGGTCTCTGGTGTCCGCCGGGCGCGCGGAGGCCCAAGAAATCTCCGCGATTGTCCCAAGACGGCCAATCAGGTCCCCAGGTAGAGAGCGTGCGTGCGTGCTGGAGCACGTTCACTGGCCACAGAACTTCAGGCCATACCACACCCGCAACCATCGCTCCCTCGGCGGACCTGGCCTCCCGCGCCCACTTTGCACCGCGGCTGTGGCGAAATGCACCCATCCCACGCGGCCAATACGGAAGAGCCGCACGCTCGCTGTGGAGGGTGGACCGTCTGTGCGGTCGCAACGGTACAGCCGCAAACCCTCCGATGACCCTCCGAACGTGTGCTGCCGCCCACGAGCGCTTGTCCACCAAGGCCCTGCAAAAGCGAAGCAGGCCGCGTACAGTCATCGGCCTGACCTGAGGAACGATAAATAAGGAACGACGCCCCTTTTTTATCCCAAGGAATAACGCATAAGGAACGATACATAAGACATAACGCATAAGGAACTGTACGTAACGCATGTAAAATCTAAGGAACGACCGAGCCCCTTTTGAAAAATAACTGTTCCTTATTCAAGCCGCTCACTGTAGTGAGGGCCGAGGCAGAGCGGCGTGCGATGGGCGGAGCTGGGAGGGGGGGAAGCACTCGCTGGGCTGACAAACGTCCTGAGGACCATCGATCGGGGAGACGTAAGACTCGAGTTCGGGGGACTCTGCAGGAGAGCCTAGAATCGAATCGACAAATCGAATCGGCGATCGAAATGAATCGGATCGGCGGAAATCGGCAGCCGAGTCGGAAAACGTCGAATCGGCGGAAATCGGCAGGCTAATAGGCCTCCAATGAGAAATCGGAACCCGAATCGGAATCCCAAGTCGAATCGATTCGGAATCGGCATCCATCGAAATCGAATCGAATCGAATCGGAGGAATCGAAGCGAGCCCTGACTCTGGGTGGCCTGACGGGGCCATCATGAAAATAACGAGACTAAATCTAAAGTTGACGCGATCTCCCGATGCTGACGTCCCACGAAAACTGGACCGTCAAACTCCAAATGGCGCCCATCAGAAAGCGAAAGCGAAGCCGAGATCTGGCATAGTCGAGTCTTACGTTTCCATGAATCGAGCCCTAGGCTCACTTCGTGAGCGGCCAAGAGGGGAGTGTCCAAGAGGGGGGGGGTGCAAAGCATGACGGGCGGCATGGGCGCGGCCCAGCGGGGGGGCCAGGGACGTAATGAAATAAGAAGAGGCGCCATGAAACCTGGGGAAATATGATGGCCCCCGCCATGATATCCACCCCCCCCTAGTCATCACCCCCCTCTGCCGCCCCCGATCACTGGCGGGTGCAACTCATACGGCAGGCCAGGCTCCCCCATGGCCACGATGAGCTGCCTGCCCCGCAGCCCGCAGGCGGGAGACACATATTGCAAGCCACAGGGCCTCGCGGCCTGGCCTCCTCGGCCTCGTCCTTGGTGGCTGCAGGGTGTGAAGGGGCCCTGGGACACACAAACAAATGCACACAACTCACAGGATTCCCCATCTTTTCCTATATTTGCTGGGGTTTCGCCTTCCCCCCCACTTCCCATATGTTCCAATTGTTTTTTGGGAATCGACGATTCATTGTGTCTGTGTGTGTGTGTTTTCTCCTCCTCCGGCGCTCTGGCTGACCCCTGTTTGCATTGACCCCCGTCTCGAGGCTCCCGACTCCTGATTCCGGGCCGCGTCCTGGTGGATGCAGGGTGGCGATGCGCGGGTGCCCCGCGCAGGACCGCGTATCGGCTACACTTGGGTCGGGCCTGTCCCCCCACAGGGGGATTCTGGACGAAAATTTCAAAACATAAAAAATACTCAAAAGATACCCAAAAACACTCCACAAATAATCCCCAAGACTATTTTTTTGACTGATGTTGAAGATTCCCCCTGTCGAGGGACAGGCCCGACTTCAGGCTGCACGCAGGGGTGACCCTAGGCAAGAGTGACCTACGGTGCGCGGTTGTGAGGGGGGGCGCGGAGGGGGCCACACCAGAGCGCGCAAGCCGCTCCTATCGCGTCGCTTCCAGAGGTCCAGGAGCCCCAGTGGGCCCGCACCAAAGGCCACTCCGGCGCAGGGCCACTTCCACGCGCCATTCGCCGAGCGCACCCGTGGGCCCGCGCCCCGGCACCCTCGACCGCGAGGCTGGTCCTCGCCCGTGCGCAGCACTCGTGTGCATGCAACTCGCCATCGCTCGGACGCCCATTCCCTGTGTTTTTTTGTCGGTTTCGTGCGTGTTTTTTGTTTTTTGCCAAATGATCGAGGATGCTCCTCGATGGTCCTCGCCGAAGGAAACATGCACACGTCCGAGCGACGCCAAGCCAACGGCGATCGGAGAACTGAAAGAATACCGACGCCGATGCCCCCTGGACCCCTGCGGGGGCGCGCTCTGACTCAAACTCCGCGGCGAATCCGGCCGCGGAGCCGAGGGCCCCTCAGGATGCCCCACGAGGCGAGAAGGAAGGAGAACGTGGGTATCGGTCGGAAGTTTGGGAGGGCGTGGCGGAAGTCAAACTGAGGCCACCGACCAGAAATCCGGAGTCGGTACTGGTCCGTGTCGCGCGTGCGGGCGAGGCGAAGCAACGCGAGGATGCTGATGTGCCGGCCGCGGCTAGGAGTAAGTCGGACAACATGCCTGTGTGTCAGTCTGGCAGTGACCCGCGGGGTTGTCTGGTGGTTGTCCTGTATGTTGCCCGTGCGTCGTCCCATAGTTGTACCGTAGTTGTCCTGTGGGTCATCCCGCCGGGTGTCCCGCGGTTGTCCCGTGGTTATCCCGTGGATTGTTCCATGGGGTGTCCCGTCCGCCCGAGAGCCCCAAGAGAGGCTCAAGATGACCCCAGAGGGTCCCTCCCCATGGTTAACCCAGTGGCTTCCCCAGGCGCTGGGGGAGCACCTGGTGCACCAGCATGGCCGCACCTTCGCTCGGCATGTTACAGCGCATGCGTTTCCAGAGGCAGGGAGCGGCGGTGATTCGCAGCAGGCGTCTTCGGTGGTGGACAGTAAGATATATAGCCGTTACTTAGCCATAATCGTTAGTTAGACAGGTCGGGCCATCCAACGCAAAACCATGAAAGCTGCACACGTCTCCCCCAATCACCTTGTCAAACGAGACGTGGTCCATGAGGTATATGCACTTCCCCTCCGAAGTGCACCCCGCTCGCGGGGAAATCGCATCGAAACCAAGATCACATTGGGCGAATCGCATGCTTGCACGGCCCTCCGAGACGAAGCCAGGACGAGGATAACTTCGGGTAAGGATAAATCGAGGATCTCTGAGACCTGGTGGATCTGGAGGATGTCTCGGGCGACGCGGCCTTCTCGGAGCGTTCCAGAACGCTCTGGAACGGATTGATCCTCGTCCCAGCACCGGCTTGGCCGTGTGATCGGTTCTCAATGACGTTTTTGGTCTCCAGG